CTAGAGCAGCAGCCGTTATATCTGGGTCAGGTGGCACACACCGGTAACAGTCACCCTTAGCACTAAAAGACAAAGCATACATGGCAGAGATAATAGCATCATAGTCTAGGTCAAAGATAGCAACCCCCGACCTAAGCAAATCCGTCCAGCGAGGGCGCTCGACGTCGTCACCAAACTCAACACGCCAGGCGTCGTCAAGGTGGGAGAAGCAGCGGTGCTCAGTGTGAAACTTCCCGCATGTCTGGCCCGCACGGACACCCGTGCGAATGACATACGGGCAGGTCTCACTACCCCCACCAGTCCCACGCTGAACCAACCACTCACGGAGCTGCTGGGGCGACTGGGTCTCGCTCCGACGCTGCTGTTGCTGTCGCTGACCACGACCAGGGCCTCCACGCCGAGGTCCAGACCTGCCACCACCATACCCACCGCCTCCACCGTCGCCACTCCCTCCGCTGCCTCCACCGCCGCCACCAGAGCCCCCACTGCCGCCACCAGTCCCACCGCCGCCACCACCTCCACTGCCTCCACCACCTCCACCGCTGCCCCCACCACTGCTCCCACTGCCACCTCCACCACCACCGCTGCCACCTCCACCACCCCGGCCACCCTTGCCCTTGCTGCTGCGGTGCTTTGCACTAGTCGAAGCAGCATCGACGTCCTCAGGAACAGAGACGTCTGCAGCAACAGCAGAGGCGAAGGAGGGGGAAAGGGGGGAGGGGGAGCACCCCTCAAAGAAGGGCGGGCGCGGAGTGCCACGAGCAGCACCTACAGCAACTGCACTAGTCTCAGCTATGAGGAGATGCTGCTCGAGGAGGTCAACAGTGAGGGAGGTGGGGTCAAGGGAGAGAAAGTGGTCCCTGACAGAGCGAAGGGAGTCAGGGAGGCGAGAGACTATGAATTAGAGGGTGATGAACATGGGGGGCTGGTTCGTGGCAAGGAACTCAGCAGGGACGGTAGCGCGGTAGCGAGCGTCGCTAGTGCGCAGGTGGGTAACCAGGTCCGCTGCAGTGGCAAAAGCCGACAGCTCAGGGAACAGGTAGGGCAGTAGCAGTCTGCCTAGAGCAGCAGTGGCAGGGGAGGAGTAGCGAGCAACGACAGCGTCGTACAGGGCCTGTGCTGTCCTGTGCTGTCCAAAGTGAGTACATTCGGCCACCGGTAGGTGGTTCCGAATGGCTAAGCGGGCAGTAGCGTCACGAGACAGCCACTGGGAACGAGTCCCACCGTCAGCTGTGGCTGGAGGGGCTGGAGCGACACCGGACACGTGGTCAAACAGTGAGACACTGTCCTTAATATCGCTCAGTAGGTACAGTTGCAAATCGTCGTGCCACGTGTCAAATGCAACCGTTCTGCCCTCATGATCGAACGCTAGAACTCTAAGCGAAGCCATAGTGGCGCAGCACTCAGGAGCAGCAGTAGCAGCAGTAGAAGCAGGAGCAGCAGCAGCAGTAGCCAAGGGGCCAAGGGGCTGGGCCGAGGGGGGGGGCTAGGGGCTTAGGGGCCAAACACGAGGCCGAGGGGCCAAATACGAGGTCGAGGGGCCAAGGGGCCTAGGGTCCGAGGGGCCAAACACGAGGGGGAGAGGCCGAGGGGCCAAGAATAGGGGCCGAGGGGCCAGGGGCCGAGGGGCCAAACAAGAGGGTGGCGGGGCCGAGGGGCCGAGGGGCCACGGGTCCTAGGGGCCGGGGGGCCGAGGGGACTAGGGGCCACGGGGCCAAGGGGCGGGGCCGAGGGGCCAAACACGAGGCCGAAGGGCCGAGGTTAGGGGCTGAGGGGCCGAGGTGCCTGGGGGCCAAGGGGCCAAGGGGCCAAGGGGCCGAGGGGCCGAGCCTAGGGGCCGAGGGGCCGAGGGGCGGGGCCGAGTGGCCAAACAAGAGGCCGAGGGGCCAAACACGAGGGGCCACGAGGGGCCTTGGTGCCTAGGGCCGAGGGGCCTTGGTGCCTAGGGACGAGGGGCCAAGGGGCCTTGTTGCCGAGGGGCTAGTGGCCGAGGGGCCAAACACGAGGGGCCGAGGGGCCAGGGGCCGAGGGGCCAGGTGGCGACGGCCCGCGGGGCCTAGGTGGGGGCAATGGGGCCAACGCTAGGGGCGACGGGGCCAACTGGGCCAAGGGGCGTGGCTAGGGGCGACGGGGCCAACAGGGCCGAGGGGCGCGGCTAGGGGCGACGGGGTCGACGGGGCCAACGGGGCCAACGGGCGCGGCTAGGGGCGACGGGGCCAACGGGGCCGAGGGGCGCGGCTAGGGGCGACGGGGTCGACAGGGCCAACGGGGCCGAGGGGCCGAGGGGCCGAGCTAGGGGCGACGAGGTCGACGGGGCCAACGGGGCCGAGGGGCGCGGCTAAGGGCCTAGGGGTCGACAGGGCCAACGGGGCCGAGAGGCGCGGCTAGGGGCGACGGGGCGAACGGGGCCGAGAGGCGCGGCTAGGGGCGACGGGGCCAACGGGGCCGAGGGGCGCGGCTAGGGTCGACGGGGCCAACGGGGCCGCGGGGCGCGGCTAGGCTCGACGGGGCCAACGGGGCCGCGGGGCGCGGCTAGGGGCTAGTGGCCGAGGGGCCAAACACGAGGGGCCGAGGGGCCAGGTGGCGACGGCCCGCGGGGCCTAGGTGGGGGCAATGGGGCCAACGCTAGGGGCGACGGGGCCAACTGGGCCAAGGGGCGTGGCTAGGGGCGACGGGGCCAACAGGGCCGAGGGGCGCGGCTAGGGGCGACGGGGTCGACGGGGCCAACGGGGCCAACGGGCGCGGCTAGGGGCGACGGGGCCAACGGGGCCGAGGGGCGCGGCTAGGGGCGACGGGGTCGACAGGGCCAACGGGGCCGAGGGGCCGAGCTAGGGGCGACGAGGTCGACGGGGCCAACGGGGCCGAGGGGCGCGGCTAAGGGCCTAGGGGTCGACAGGGCCAACGGGGCCGAGAGGCGCGGCTAGGGGCGACGGGGCGAACGGGGCCGAGAGGCGCGGCTAGGGGCGACGGGGCCAACGGGGCCGAGGGGCGCGGCTAGGGTCGACGGGGCCAACGGGGCCGCGGGGCGCGGCTAGGCTCGACGGGGCCAACGGGGCCGCGGGGCGCGGCTAGGGGCGACGGGGCCAACGGGGCCGTGGGGCGCGACTAGGGGCGACGGGGCCAACAGGGCCGAGGGGCGCGGCTAGGGGCGACGGGGCCAACGGGGCCGAGTGGCGCGGCTAGGGGCGACGGGGCCAACGGGGCCGAGGGGGGCGGCTAGGGTCGACGGGGCCAACGGGGCCGTGGGGCGCGGCTAGGGGCGACGGGGCCAACGGGGCCGAGGGGCCGAGCTAGGGGCAGAGACGGGCCGGGGCCTAGGGGCCGTGAGCGACGGGGCTGAGGGGCCGTGAGCGACGGGGCCTAGGGGCCTCGATCGAAGGGGGGCCGCGAGGTGGCGCGACGGGCCTAAGGGGCGCGACGGGCCTAGGGGGGGTACTAGCAGCGTAGCAGGTGGTGGGCCCAAGGAACCTGCTCTGATTCCATGTCAAAGTAACGAACGAGAATGAATGAACTAGCAAAGAGTTGGGTACAAGTACTAACCCTAGTTGGGTTGTACCCCTTATGGGCTACCCCACTACAGCCTACACAAATGTATAAGCTATAATGTTCTGACAGAAACCCCAACCTGTGAGTGCCCCTTTGCCTACCATGCACGACATCTACGAGGCGCAGCTAGCGCTGCGCTGGTGTGTGCAGTGTCGTGTTGCTGCACGAGGCTATACAGAACGTTCAGGTTCAGGAAGAGGGTTGAGTGCGCTGTCGAAAGCTGCCTTCTCAACCAATCGGCAACTCACGTTTGTGTGACCTGTTGCCAACGGGGAACGAACCGCGCCGCACCGCTGCCCGCCAAATATTGGCTGTATTCGCTGTACTGGCGGGCTTGGCAGAACGATAATGTAAATGGAGCGGTGTTCACGGCAATCCCCGCAAATCTTGGGTTCTCGAATTCAGCGTAGGTTCGCGTTTCTAGTCTGACGCATCAGAGTATAGTGCAAAAAAAAAAAGCTGAAAAAACAGCCTCCCCTTATAAAAAAAACCTGAACATGCAGAGATAAAAAAAACAAAAAAAAACTGAACTTTTAGCATTACAACAAAAAAAGGCTGGAAAATCAGAGTTTTTAAGGCAAATCAGCTAAATTTCGCTGAATTGTGGGGGCTTGTTGGTCTTACAGTACACATTGAAACAAAAAGATTGAGTCTCGATACGTATTAGGTGAAAGATTGTTACGAGTGCAATTGAGCGAGCGAGCGAGGATTGCACTACCGAGGCAAGGATACAATGAGCGAAGGATTGAACGAAGAATATATAGCGAAGCTACAGTGGTAACGGTAACGGGGTGCGCGACGGGCCTGGCGCCGAGGTTGGGGATTGTCGAGGCGGAGGTCCGGAGCGCGGGTTACCAACCGAACCGTGAGGTTGGGTCGCGTCGTGAACAGTTGTGGGAATAGTGTCGAGGCGAATGTCGCGAGTGGTAACGGATGATTGTGGGGTGCTGTTGGCGGGAAACAGTGGTGTACGCGCTGAGCAGGGACGCGAATTAAGGAAAAATGAAATTTCCTTACAAAGATGCAGCAATGCGTGATGATGGGGTTGACGTTCTTTTCAGGACTTATGTCGAGTCTGAATCAACATGAGTATTATTTTTGTAAAGCAACAGGATTTTGTCGAGTTTGAATCCCTAACTCAGCATGTGTAAAGAAACAAATCATCACAATATAGAGTTACTACATACATTTTACACTCTAGATAAATACCCATGGTTTGTAATGATGGATACGTCTATGCACGGGCATTTCTAACCGATTCCGCCCTGGTCACATTTCACCTCATAACTATCTCTTCCAACCTATCACATTACTACGCGGCCGCCATGGTGACGCCAACCCGTCCTTCCGCGACCACCGCGACCCGAGCCGAGCTCGCCACTGATGAGCAGCATTGGTCCGTTGGGATCGAGTCGTGAGAAGCAATCGCTGCGGTGAGCAGCAATCCCTGCGCCATGCGCGGCCGCGCCAGGTCTTGCCACCGCGTTTACCGCTGGCTCGCTCTTCGAAACTCGTTCTCCGCCCCGCCTGATCTCCTCCCCGCTCTCACCCCTCTCTCCGTTCATCCTTCCGCTCCTCCGCCGCGCTTCCCGCCAATTGCGCGCACCGTATTTGCGGCTTTCACTGGCCCCGCCTTTGAGGCGTCGCATAAACCGACGCCGTCGCGCACCGCCTTTCCCTCTAGTACCAGTAGCGCATCCCAGCCGTCCACGTGGATCGCCGGACACGTCAGCAACAGCAACGACTACATCCCGGGAGCGGCCGTTTATAATCTCAGGAACCTAAAAAACGCCACCTGCGGCGCCGGAGGCGGCGGCTATGATCGGCGGTACGGCGGAAAGCAGCAGGCGCGCGGATATGCGCGGCAGGCGGGGGGAGGGCGGCCGCGCACGCCCATGGCGGTGCCGTTTCAGGTTACACCTGAAGAGGCCCGGGCTCTGTTGCGAGAACACCTGACGGGACACCTGCTGGCGCCCGCCATTGCTGACGTGGACTCGTCTGTGGCTCTCAGTGCCGTGTTCCAGCCGTTCTGGACCTTCGCTGCTGACGGTGGGTGCATGGGTGTGGGGGGGGAATGGGGAAGGGGATGTGGTGTAGGGTAGGGACAAGGGATGAAATGGCTGCGTGTGTGCGCACGAGCTGTCAAAAGAGGACAGGTGGGCTGCGGAGGCCTTACTTCCATCAACTCGTGTTGTTTTAGACGCGCGCGTCTGTGCGTGCTTGTGCGTGTGTGTATGTGTGCACGTGAATGCGCGTGTGTGTATGTGTGCACGTGAATGCGCGTGTGTGTATGTGTGCACGTGAATGCGCGTGTGTGTATGTGTGCACGTGAATGCGTCTGCGCGTGTGTTCGCGTGCGCGCACATGCGTGCATGGGTGTGTGCCTGCCTGCGTGAGTGCGTGAGTGCGTGAGTGCGTGAGTGCGTGCGTGCGCGCATGTCTCTGCATGTCTCTGCATGTCTCTGCATGTCTCTGCATGTCTCTGCATGTCTCTGCATGTCTCTGCATGTCTCTGCATGTGTGCATATTACTCCTATTGGCACATCGTTGGTGCACCTTTGCTTGCTGCCCTCTTCACTCAACCCCTCCTCACTTTCCCCTCCTTCACTTTCCCCCCCTCTCTTTCCTCCTCCTCTCCTCACTTACTTCCTTGTCCTTGCTCCGTGCACGCACACGCCCGTTGGAGCTGGGTGCGAAGGAGGCATTATCTGCCATGCCATGCCATGCCATGCCATGCCATGCCACGCCATTCCACAGCACCCAACCCCTCCTTGTTGTCACGTTCCACTCTGCCCGCCGTCCTCGTGTGCGCCCACACCAGGGGAAGCTTTGCACAGGGCGGATGTGGGGAAGGCGTTATCTGCCATGGCAGTGAAGTAAACCCACCCACACTTCCCTGATTGATTCCCCTCGTTATCCTCCGGCCGTATCTAGTACCCCTGATCCCCTGTGCCCTCGTGAGCATGTGCATGGCATGGGTATGACCATGTTCATGGGCATGCTGATGGCAGTGGAAGTGGTGTGCAGGGCGAGTGTGGGGAAGGCAACATCTGCCTGGTATGGTGGTAGACCCACCCATGCGCCCTTGACTAAATCCTCGTCCTCCCCCATGTGCCCCTTCCTCCATCTGTTGCGTGTGTGCTGTGGGTGGGCAGTGGAAGTGGCGTACAGGGCGAGTGTGGGGAAGGCGTCATCTGCCATGGCGTGGAACCCTTACAGCCGGCGATGGGAGCAGGTGAGTCACGAGGAAAGGGGGGGGGGGAGAGGGCTGTAACAGGAGGGAGAGAAGAGAGACGCCACGGCAGGAGGGGGATGGCAGGAGCAGAATGGCACGAGGGTGGGGAGCATGAGGAGCAGCAGGAGACGAGAGAGGGGATTGGGGGGATAGGGGGAGGATGGGGGGAGGGAAGGAGAAGTCTGATCATGTCCGCTCTCCCTCTGTCCCCATCGGCCACTCTCCTGCTCGTGTCCGCTCCCTCTGTCTTCCACCCTCTCTCCCCTGCACCGTCTCGTCCCTCCACCCTCTTTTCCCTCCACCCTCTTTTCCCTCCACCCTCTTTTCCCTCCACCCTCTTTTCCCTCCACCCTCTCTCCCCTGCACCGTCTCGTCCCTCCACCCTCTTTTCCCTCCACCCTCTTTTCCCTCCACCCTCTTTTCCCTCCACCCTCTTTTCCCTCCACCCTCATTTCCCTCCACCCTCTTTTCCCTCCACCCTCTTTTCCCTCCACCCTCTTTTCCCTCCACCCTCTTTTCCCTCCACCCTCTTTTCCCTCCACCCTCTTTTCCCTCCACCCTCTTTTCCCTCCACCCTCTTTTCCCTCCACCCTCTTTTCCTTCTACCCTCTTTTCCCTCCACCCCTAGGGATGAGCAAGGGGCGAACACGAACATGTTCGTGTTCGCCCCTAGATGAACACATCCGTTTGCCGAACCGAACACTGTTTGGTTCGGCGAACACTTTAAGCAAAAACACGTCTTCGCCGTTCGCCTGTGAAGGCATGTTCGGGCGAACCTCGAACACGTTCGTGTTCGTCGCGGGGCGTGTTCGGGCGAACATCGAACACTGTTCGGCGAACAATTTAAGCAAAAAAAACAAACCTGTTCGGTTCGCCTCGAACACGTTCGAGGCGAACCGAACAGGTGTTCGCCCTTGTGCTCATGTCTATCCACCCCTCTCCCTTCCACACTCTCTCCCCTCCACCCTCTTTTCCTTCCACCCTCTCTTCCCTCCACCTTCTCTCTCGTTCCCTCACTCGTCTACCACCTGCATAAAACACCACTTCGCCATGCTCTTCTCTCCTTGCTCTCAACCGTAGTGTTTCCTCCTCTGTTCCACCCGCCCTCTTCTTCCCATCCCGCCTCTCCTGCTCTCACCCGTATTTCCGCCCACTTCTCCTCCATGCACCCCTCCTCCCCCATCTCCTTCCTCTTTATTTCGGTCTCTAGCACATCTTTCTCACAGCGTCCTCCCACTCCCCCTCCATCGCCTTCTCCCCTCCAATCCCACCACACAGTGTGGCAGACCACCTCTTGGTTCCCTCCCTTAGAAGTTTTCTTTTGCCTCTTTCCGTCTCCCTTTCTACCCCCCTATCCCCACCACTTCCCCCCTCCCTCCCCCTCTCTCCCCTCCCCCTCCCCTCCCTTCCCCTCCCTCCCCCCACCAGCATCGCCACACCGTCTGGCAGGCCACCCCATGGCTCTCTCGCCCTTATAGTTCTCTTTTCCCTCTTTCCGTCTCCCCTCTCTTCCCCTCCCTCTGCTTCAACAGCATCGCCACACCGTATGGAAGGCCACCCCGTGGCTTTCTCGCCCCATGCAAGCTCCCTCCACCGACCCCCTCATGCAATTCTACGCTGCCACCAGGTGCAGTGCGGTGCAGAGTGATGGTACATGGTGTTATAGGCTCAGAATCATCAGGTGCCTTTCGACTTTGTCCTTTCGCATTTCGATCCCCTCCCCACTCTGCTTGACTTGCTTTTCCTCTCACTCTTCACTTGAAACTCTCTTTAACCTTTCTTTCTCACTCTGTGTCTCCCCCTTCCCGTTTTCTTCCGTCGCCTCCTCTTCCGTTCTTCCCCCCCGCTTTCCCTCGTCTCCTCTCCGTTTCCCCCGCAGTCTGGCGCAACTGCTGGCAGGCGGCGCAATCAACCGCCAACTATCTCTCAACAATCCCCTTCTTGTCTTCCCTTCCCCTTTTTACCCTCACAATTCCTCCGCTTCTTTGCTCAGCCTCCCTCGCTCCCTCGTGCAAGTGCTAGCTGGCGAAGCAATCAAGCATGCGACCCCGCTGACCAATCGCATGCTGACACCTGGCAGACAGCTGGAGCTCTTCACCGTCTCCAGGTGGGCAGATGGGTGGAAAGCGCATATCTGGCATGTGATGGGCATAGCTGGCTGACATGCCATGTGCTTCGCTGACATGCCATGTGCTTCGCTTACATGCCATGGGTTTCAAGGCACGCCTGGCGCCATTTAGGCCACTTTGAACCATGCAGTGACGCACACCTGACATGCAGTATTTTGGCTGCCCATAGCTTATTACGTGTCCATGGTTGATTATGACGAGTCCATTGCTTGTGATGGTGTGTGCATGGCTTGTGATGGTGTGTGCATGGCTTGTGATGGTGTGTGCGTGGAGTATGGTGTGTGCGTGATTATGGTCTATGCATGGCGAATGATATGTGCCATGGTATATCTATGTGTGCCATGCAGGGAGAGGGCATGGGCGGTGGTGAAGCAGCGGTGGATCAAGCATCTCGAGTCAGAGCTCACCAATCACCTCAAATGGGTGCGCCCTCCCTTCTCTGCCCTGTGCTAGCCTGCTCTGCTCTGTGCTAGCCTGCTCTGCTCTGTGCTAGCCTGCTCTGCTTTGTGCTAGCCTGCTCTGCTCTGTGCTAGCCTGCTCTGCTTTGTGCTAGCCTGCTCTGCTCTGTGCTAGCCTGCTCTGCCCTGTGCTAGCCTGCTCTGCTTTGTGCTAGCCTGCTCTGCTCTGTGCTAGCCTGCTCTGCCCTGTGCTAGCCTGCTCTGCTCTGTGCTAGCCTCGCCCCGTCCTGTGCTGGTGCCCTGCGTTGCACTGCTTGCGTTGGCCTGCTCTCTAGAGCCATGCTGCTCCTTGTTTACAAACCCCATGACATGCAATAACGTGCCAAATTGCCATGGTGTGCCATGGTGTGCCATGGTGTCGTGTGTGTGTCTACCATTCTATTATTGCATTTTCCTTCTTTCTCAGGACCTATTATCACGTTTTGAAATCATCTTGTAATTCCAACAATAAGTATGCGCTGCCTTGCCTGTTTCCTTAATATTGACTATTGTCTTTACTTGGCCCGAGTATTCCATAGCAATCCCTCGCATGCCCGCTCGCATGAACTCCGCCATCCCCTCCCTATACCATTACCCAATCCCCCCTGTCCAAACCCCCCTGCCCAATCCCCCCTGCCCAACCCCCTTGTGCAATCACTCCTACCAGCGCTATGAAGCGGAGCAAGTGAGAGATCTGGACATTCATCTCACCGTGCACTCCGTGTCTGCCAAGGTGCGCTCTCTCCCTTGCCCTCCTTCCCACTCACTGTGACCCACACTCATGCGGTGTCCTTGCCTTGCTCACTAGTCATCGTTGTCATCGTTGATGCCACCGTCAGCTCTGCTCCCATTAGTGATCGCGTCAGTCAGGCAGCCTGCTTTGCTTGTATCCACACCCTATTCTTGTCCTCCTCTGTCCATCACACCGACATGACTTTCTTTTCACCCTGTCCACGTGTCAATCTGTCGTTGGCTCTGCTGCCACCCGTTGCTAAGCAGAGCAGCCCATCTTCCTACCATCCTACGTGGCATCCTACTATCATGACAGCTGGCGACACACAGCCGTCATCGCCGCCACGTCAGCACCATCTACCGCGCCAGCTGTCGCTGCGGACCGCCTCTTTTCCCAACCCAAATCCACGCTGGCAGCAGCGGCCGCACTGACAGCTGGCGCCGCGCTACTGGACCTGGTTCTCCTGGGAGGCGGCGTGCCTTGCCTTTTCCACCCGGCGTCGACCGCATGGTGGATGACAGTTGGAGCGCTCTCATTGGCGGCTGGGTGGCTTGCCAGGGTGTCCCCTCGGCTTGCTGTGATTCGTCGGGGCGTGCAGCACGCTAGGGAGGTGGCTGAGGTGGCAACAGGAGGGGGGCTGTGGGGGAAAGGAGGGGGGATGGAGGAGGAGGAGGAGGAGGAGGAGGAGGAGGAGGAGGAGGAGGAGGAGGAGGAGGAGGAGGTGGGGGAGGAGGAGGGGGGTAAGTTTGGCAGGGCGGAGAGGGGAGAGGCGAGAGGGCAAGGGGCAGGGGGAGGTGAAAGGCGTGAGAGTCCATTTGAGAGCCCGTTTGATGGATTTCCAGGGTGAGTTAACAAATGTACTTGTTCCGAGTGAGACTCATGGCAGTGAGGGGTTGACGGCAGCATGGTTGGAATGGGGCAGCAGAGTCCATGTGGAACAGGTCTGTTTTATCAAGTAGAGAACACTTTGAAAGGCGGCCTACAGGGCTGGTTTGGCTGCGGATCTGGTTTGGCTGGAAGGGTTTGCTTGAATTGGCTGGATTTGGAAGGGACTTGAAAAGCGGGTTGGGGGGAATGCGGGATGGGTGTGGCAGTTCAATCGGGTGTGCGTTATGGGTGCTCCAAGCTACATGTGTTGGGATGGGAAGCATGTGTTGCATCACCATTGCCAAGACCAAGAGCACCGATTTCTGCTACCCACCTCATACCCGATCCATTCATACCTGCATCCAATCATACCTGCATCCAATCATACCTGGATTCTGGATTGACTGGTCGCACCAAATCTTGCTCCTTTTCTCTCACACGTCCTCCCAATTCTCTGCGCCAGCTTGGCCTCTTAGCCCAGGTTGCCGACTGCCTCCATTTTCAAGTCATCACTTCTCCCCACTTGTCTCGATTCATGTGATGTGTGCCCCCCACATCACATGCATGTGATGTGTCAAGTCCATCTTCTGATGCACGCAGCACACTTGCCACCTCAACCCCCACACTCGTCATCTCTGCCCTTTCCACACTCAAACCTTATCCCAGAACCACTTCTTTTCCGACCCCACCCCTTACTCCCCCCCATCATGTCCCACTCTCTTCCCGAACCTGCGCTGCAGGTTTGGCAACTTCCGGGTCTTCCGCCGAGCCTTTGTGAGTCCGGAGGACGTGTGGAGGGAGTTTGAGCGCATGGCTCGGGGAGGAGCCTCGTCGTGGCCTGGAGGCAGCTTCGACGGCAGCAGATACCAGCGCACCCAGCAGCAGCAGCAGCAGCAGCAGCAACATGAGCAGCAGGATAGCCGGCAGCAGCAGTGGCAGCAGCAATGGGAGCAGCAATGGCAGCAGCAGTACGGGCGGCAGCAGCAACAACAACAACGGCAGCAGCAGCAGCAGCAGGGGTCAAGGCAGGCGAGGTCAGGGCGAGCAAGTTCAGACCCCAAGGGGTACTACACTGCTCTGGGACTGGCCGGCAAAGGGCGGCAGGCGAGTCAGCAGGAGATCAAACCTGCTTTCCGCCAGCTGGCGATGGAGACTCACCCTGACAGGCAGCCTGACGCTGGAAAAAGGCAGGCGGCAGAGGAGCGGTTCAAGAGGATTGCAGAGGCGTATGAGGTGCTGAGGGATCCCTCCATGCGCAGTGCGTATGACAGCAGTGGGATGTGAGTGGGGTGTGCGGTATGACAGCAGTGGGATGTGAGTGGGATGTGCGGTATGACAGCAGTGGGATGTGAGCAGGGTGTGCGGTATGACAGCAGCATGCGGCCAAGGTGGGTGGCAGAGGAGCGGTTCAAGAGGATTGCAGAGGCGTACAAGATGTTGAGGGATGCCTCCAAGCGCAGTGCATATGACAGCGGTGCGCTGTGAGGTGTGAGATGTGTGGGGTGTAATGGCAGTGCAATGGAATGTAAGGTGGGACAGCAGTATGCAAACAAGGGAGGAGGTGTATGAGGTGCTGCGTGATATCAACAAGCGCAGTGCCTATGACAGCAGTGCGCTGTGAGGTGTTGGGGTGTGATGGGTGGGACTTCAGCATGCAGATGATGGGAGGAGGAAGCATATGAGGTGCTGCAGAATCCCAGAGAGCGCAGAGTGGTGCGCTCTGAGGTGGCGGTCGTGGCAGCGGTGGGAGTGGTGGCAGTCGGGGTGGAGTTGTTCAGAGGGGAGGTTCTGGCGGTGGCCAGAGGCAGCAGCAGCAGCGTCGGAGCGAGACCCCTTCGCTCTAGCAGCTTCGTGAGTGGTTTGCTCAGCGTGAGGCGTCTCAGTGTTAGCTGCCCGTATGTCATTCGCACGGGTGACCGTGCTGGTCAGACATGCGGGAAGCCTCACACTCAGCACCGCTGCTTCTCCCGCCTAGACGACGCTTGGCGCGCAGAGTTTGGTGACGAGGCCGAGCGCCCCCGCTAGGGAGAGCTACTTAGGTCTGGAGTCGCTATGTTTGATCATTACTATGATGCTATCCTTGCTGCTATCTATGCTTTGTCTGTTACTGCTGAAGATGACTGTCCCCTGACCCAGGTATAAAGGCTGCTGGTCTAGGTGCTAGTGAGTCTGCTCTCCCTGGTACTGCGCCTGCTGAGACCTTGCACACCTTTACGCTTGACTCATGTGCTTCCTGTTGTTTCTTTCGCGACAGCACCACCCTCACTCCTCTCTCTGCACCTATATTGGTCAGACCGGCTGACCCCTCAGGGGGCCCAGTTCTTGCTCGTTCCTCCACTGTTCTCCCGTGTCCGGCAGTTCCGTCCGTTTCACTCTCAGGTCTTCACCTCCCCTCGTTCTCTACGAACTTGGTGAGTACCGCTGCCCTCCAGGATGCGATGGTCACCACCACCACCTCTCTTGGGGGTCATCAAGTCTCGATCTGCACGTTTACACGGACGAGCTGTCACCTGGCCACGTTCACCCGTCGGCCTGGGTCGAGTCTGTACACACTGGCTAACGAGCCTTCTCAGGTAGCTGCATCTGCTCAGGTGTCCGCGTCAGGCCCGATAGCACCCCCCTGCTCGTGTCGCCTCCTGTCGCACCAGACTCTCCTCTGGCACCACCGACTTTGTCACCCCTCCCTGCCACGCCTCCGTGGCATGCGCTCCCGCCTCCTTGTTTCGGGTCTTCCCAGGTCTCTGTCTCCCATCCCGCCCTCGCCTACCCCGCCCTGCCTTCCTTGCGTCGAGGGGCGGCATCACGCCGCTCCTCACTCCTCCGCGTTTCTCTCGACGACTGCTCCCCTGCAGACTCTCCACATGGACGTGTGGGGCCCAACCCGCGTCAATGGACAGGGCCGCGAGCGCTACTTTCTGCTGGTTGTTGACGACTACACGCGTTACACCACGGTTTTCCGCTTGCGCAGGAAGGGTGGGATCCCTGATGTCTTGATCCCTTGGATCTGCGCAGTCCGTCTCCAGCTCCGCGAGCGGTTCCGCGAGGACCATCCTGTCATGCGTCTGCACTCTGACAGAGGTGGTGAGTTCTCCTCCGACCTCTTGCGGGACTTTTGTCGTGGGGAGCGCATCCTCCAGTCGTTCACGCCTCCGGCCTCACCGCAGCAAAATGGGATTGCTGAGCGCCGCATTGGCTTAGTCATGGAGGTCGCTCGTACCTCCATGACCCATGCGGCTGCTCCCCATTTTCTATGGCCGTTTGCGGTCCGGTACGCGGCGCATCAGCTCAACCTCTGGCCCCGTGTCTTCTTGCCGGAAATCTTGTCCACACTGCGTTGGACGGGGAAGGTTGGCGATGCGCCGGTGTTCCGGGTCTGGGGTTCTCGTGCCTTTGTTCGCGATACGTCCACGGACAAGCTTACCGCCCGTGCTCTTCCTTGCGTCTTCCTTGGCTTTCTCCCTGACACGCCTGGCTGGCAGTTTTACCACCCCACCTCGCGCCGTATCCTGCCCTCTCATGACATCACGTTTGACGAGTTGGTTCCCTTTTACCATCTCTTCCCTTACCGCACTGCCCCTCTCCCACCCCCGCCGCTCTTCCTTGCTCCAGGTCCCCTTCCGGTAGTCCCCCTCCCCCCTCAGGGTCCTGCTCCCTCACGTGTGTCTTAGGTAGACCCACTCCCCGGGACTGTGGCTGTTGAGGTCGCTGTAGACTCAGGTGCTGCTAGAGATACTGCGTCTGGAGGTGCTGAGCCTGGGGGTACTGAGCCTAACGGTGTTGAGCCTGCGAGTGTGGAGCCTTGGGGTGATGAGCCTGCGGGTGCGGAGCCTGGGGGTGCCGAGTCTGAGGGTGCGGAGTCTGGGGGTGCTGAGCCTGGGGGTGCGGAGTCTGAGGGTGCTGAGCCTGAGGGTGCGGAGCCTGGGGGTACTGAGTATGAGGGTGCGGAGCCTGCGGGTGCTGAGTATGAGGGTGCGGAGTCTGGGGGTGCTTCGCCCAGGGGTAATGTGTCTACTGGAGGTCCTGCGGGTGCCGAGCCACGACTGTCTCACCGGCGGGAGCCTCTCTCCGCCCCGCAGTTGCACGATTGGTTTGCTCGGCGCACTCGCCTTAGGAGTGGAGTCTCCGGAGCTGGAGGCGCTAGAGCTGGAGACCTTGGAGCTGGAGGTGCCGACGCTGGGGGTGCTGGAGCTGGCAGTACTGGTGCTGGAGGCACTGTGCAGCGGCGACCGTTTTTCGTTCCGCCGCCGCCGTCGTCTGTGCCGCCACCTGGCTTGGTCCTTCGCTAGGTTTTTAGTCTCCCGTCTTCTACTGGCCTTACTCCTCGCTTACAGTGTCCACCGCCTCACCAGTCGCAGCCACAGTTACAACCAGACTCCCCGCTGCCTGCTCCTTCTCCTTACGCTGAGGAGACGGACTCTTTTGCAGAGCGTCGTGAGCCTGAGTCTCGTCCTGCCTCGCCTGTTCGCGCTGTTCGCACTGGTCGTCGTAATCCTTGTCCGCATCCTCCTCCTGTCCCAGGCACGCACGTTATGGCATTTCGTCCTTCCTCTGTGCCACTGCGAGTTCCCCTGCCGCCTCCTCCTACGTCCTCTCTTCCTGCCGTTCCTGACCCTGAGTCTGACCTAACTCGTGCTGCCAGTCCCTCTGTCCCTCGTCTTCTCGCCACTGTTGTCACTGACCTTTTTTTTGAGTCCACTGCTGCGTCTGCCCTCGTTGCTGAGCTGGTTGACTTTGCTGACACTTGTCGTCTCGACTACGCCACTGCTCTTTTTGCTGGGTCTGCGTCTGCTTATTCTCCGTCCGTCGGGGGTGAGTGTGCTCTTGACACGGACGTTTTTGAGGACAGGTAGGAGGACTTTGAGTGTCTTGTAGCTAATGTACCTCATCTCGTGGCCATGCTGCTTGCCCCTGAGAGAGACCCGGATGCACCAGGCATCCCGACCCCGCGCTCTTACGTAGAGGCGATTACGGATCCCTACTCCTCTCAGTGGCAGATAGCCATGGATGCAGAGATGGCATCCTGGAATTCCACAGGCACCTACGTCGACGCAGTTCCCCCTTGTGGTGCGAAAATTGTCGATGGCATGTGGATTTTCAGGGTGAAACGGCCGCCGGGTTCTCCACCTGCCTTCAAGGCTCGTTACGTTGCACGAGGCTTCAGTCAGCGACAGGGAGTTGATTTCTTCCATACCTTCTCTCGTACCCCGAAGATGACCACTCTTCGAGTACTGCTGCACGTCGCCGCTCAGCGTGACTACGAGCTTCACTCTCTTGACTTTAGCACAGCTTTCTTACAGGGCAGCCTGCACGAGGAGATCTGGCTGCGCCGCCCACCTGGCTTCACTGGGACGTTTCCTGCAGGTACCTAGTGGAGCCTCCGGCGGCCAATCTACGGTCTCCGTCAGGCACCTCGCGAGTGGCACGATACACTGAGGACGACGCTTGCGGCTCTTGGGTTTGCCCCTTCTAGTGCTGACCCGTCGTTGTTTCTACGCACCGACACTTTGCTGCCGCCATTCTACGTCCTTGTCTACGTCGACGACCTCGTCTTTGCCATTGCTGACACTGAGGCACTGACCCTTGTGAAGTCGGAGCTGCAGAAGAGACACACTTGCATTGACCAGGGTGAACTGCGCAGCTATCTTGGCTTGCAGATCACCCGGGACTGAGCACGGCGCACCATCACACTGACTCAGTCACACATGGTGCACCAGGTCCTTCAGCGCTTCGGCTTCCGGTACTCCTCGCCACAGTCCACTCCTCTGCCTACCGATCACTCGTTCTCAGCTCCACCTTCGGATGAGTCCGTAGAGCCAAGTGGCCCGTATCCAAAGCTTGTGGGCTGCCTCATGTACCTGATGATCTGCAGTCGACTTGACCTTGCCTACCCTCTTAGCATCCTGGCACGCTACGTTGTGCCCGGGAGACACCGACCAGAGCACTGGGAGGCCGCTTTATGAGGGTGTTGCGCTACTTATGCAGTACGTCGAGAATGGGGCTCGTGCTTGGAGGACGGGGTCCAGTTGTCCTCACTGAACACGTAGACGCTTCTTGGGTTGACGACTTGGCTACACAGTGGTCGTCACATATTTACACTTTCAGCCTTGGCTTTGGCTCTGTTTCTTGGCGGTCTACCCGCTCGTCTTCTGTTCTCAGTTCCAGTTGTCAGGCTGAGATCTACGCAGGAGCCATGGCTGCACAGGAGCTACGCTGGCTCACCTACCTGCTGACCGACCTGGGAGAGCGGCCTCGTTCTTCTCCAGTTCTGTACATAGACAACAAGGCCATGATTGCCTTGTGTCAAGAGCACAGACTGGAGCACAGAACGAAGCACATCGCTCTGTGTTACTTCCTTGCTCCAGAGTTGCGGCAGCTTAGTCAGCTTCGTCTTGCTTACGTGGCCACTTGGGCCAACACTGCTGATATATTCACCAAGGCACTTCAACCTGGTGATCATCAGTGTTTCTCTGTTGTTTTAGGCCTTGTGCCTATTTTGCCCCACTTGCTCACTACGTGAATCTGTTGTACTATGATCTATGTATATCCCTGCTCGCTTACTCTTGCTATGGTATGATCACTGTACTGTTTGTTCTTTTTTTTATAACTCTTCATGTGAACTGGCCTTGTGGCCATTTGTTTGTGTTCGGAATGTGTGGTGACTTCGTGATCCACCCTGAGCTTGCTTTGCTTTTCTTGACTGGTCTTGTGACCACTTTTTCTCCCCCACTTTGCCTATGGGGGTGTGTCAGAATGTTGTAGTGCTTACTTTGTGTAAGCTATAGTGGGGTAGCCTATAAGGGGTACAACCCAATTAGGGTTATTACTTGTACCCAACTTCTGTTCAATCCAATCATTCTCGTTCGTTAGTTCAACATTGGGGTGTGATGGCAGTGCAATGTGGAGTGTGGGGAATGGACAGAAGCATGCAGACAAGGGGAAAAGGTGCGCGGGGGTAGAGCGGTTGAAGAAAATTATGGAGGCGTATGAAGTGCAAGGGGGTCCCTCCACACGCAGTGTTTGTGCACAGGGTGATGTGAAGGCAGTGTTTGTGCACAGGGTGATGTGAAGGCAGTGTTTGTGCATAGGGTTATGTGAAGGCGGTGTTTGTGCACAGGGTGATGTGAAGGCAGTGTTTGTGCACAGGGTGATGTGAAGGCAGTGTTTGTGCACAGGGTGATGTGAAGGCAGTGTTTGTGCACAGGGTTATGTGAAGGCGGTGTTTGTGCACAGGGTGATGTGAAGGCAGTGTTTGTGCACAGGGTGATGTGAAGGCAGTGTTTGTGCACAGGGTGATGTGAAGGCAGTGTTTGTGCACAGGGTGATGTGAGGGCAGTGCACTACCCGATGTGAGCTGTGTTAGGCGAGCTGTGCGCTGCAAGCTGTTACTACTAGGTGCACACAGGATGCGACAGCAGAGAGCAGACAGAGAATCATCGCGATGCGTTCAAATAGCAGAGTTGGCAGTTTGTTTGGAGTATTTTGGCTCGCAATGGAGGAGGCAACAATGCAACCACTTTGCCAACATGCTGTGGGGTGCAAAAAGGCGTCCATGCAATGCATCAGCCAATGTCAACGGACTAAATGACATCTGTTTCTTTGGTCGGTTTCAGTAAATTATGAACTAAAGACGAAATGAGATGTTTCCGTCCATACCGTACATGCCGCTTTCTTTAGAAAAATCCCATCATTGCAATCAACCAAAAGAAATGCGACCTCTCTCGTGTGTGTAGACAGGAAGCAGCAACGCAACCCTATCGTACGGTACTGGTATGCCACTCCAATAGCATGCAGTGATTACCCAAAGCTAGTTAGATATTGCCTTAACCAGCACCCGTGTGCATTTATCCTACTTCAAGCGATCCATCACATGCAAGCGATCCATCACATGCAAGCAATCCATCACATGCAAGCGATCCATCACATGCAAGCGATCCATCACATGCAAGTGATCCATCACATGCAAGCGATCCATCACATGCAAGCGATCCATCACATACATGCAAGCGATCCATCAAATGCAGCGATCCATCATATGCAATGCGATCCATCACATGCAATGCGTTCATGTCAGCAGCACACTCATTATCACCCAACGCCACTCACAAGCTGCTGGTACCGGTACCACCACCACCACCACCCACATGCATTGCCCGTGCAAGCTCTGCATCAAAGTCAACAGCGCCAGCAGCGCCCTCTATCTCCCTGTCAATGCGCACCGCGGCCCGGTCCACCTCCCGCCCGGCCACCTCCTTCTCCATCGCCTGCAGCTGCCCCACAGCTTGCGCCATGGTTGGGCGCGACACGGTGGGCATGGCGGTGCAGGCGAGGGCAAGGCGAGCCAGGCGCAGCAGCAGGTCGTCTGGAGCGACCAGATGAGGGTCCTTGAAGGCTGCTATGGCGTTTGATGATACTAAGGGAGCCACCTGAAAGGGGGTTAGGGGTAGGTATGGGGGTTATGAGGCACGTGAGTGCAAGGCGAGGGCAAGGCAAGCTAGGCCACCAGCAGGTCGTCTGGGGCGAGCAGATGAGGGCCCTTGAAGGCTGCCACAACGTTTGATGCCATTAGTGGCGCCACCTGGAGGGGGGTTTGGGGAGTAGTGAGTAAATTCTACTCACCTCGAGTAGATGAGGGTACTTGAAGGCTGCCATGGCGTTGGGTGATGCTAATGGCACCACCTGGGTGGGGGGTGAGAGGGGGAGGTTTGAGTCGACTCAGACGTCACCTCAGGCTACGATGGTACGGCATCATTGGGTGCTGCTAGCGGAGCCAACTGGGAGCGGGTGAAGGGGAGGTTTGAATTGACTCAGACGTCACCTCGAGCGCAGCAGGTCGTCAAGTGTGGCCAGGTGAGGGTCCTTGAAGGCTGCTACGAAGGTGGATGCCACTAGTGACGCCACCGGGAGGGGGTGGTTGTGGAGGGCGTTGAGGTCATGGGGCATGTGCGTGCAAGTCGAGGTGAGTGCAAGGCGAGGTGAGTGCAAGGCGAGGTGAGTGCAAGGCGAGGTGAGTGCAAGGCGAGGTGAGTGCAAGGCGAGGTGAGTGCAAGGCGAGGTGAGTGCAAGGCGAGGTGAGTGCAAGGCGAGGTGAGTGCAAGGCAAGGTGAGTGCAAGGCGAGGTGAGTGCAAGACGGGGTGAGTGCAAGACGGGGTGAGTGCAGGGCGAGGTGAGTGGTGGTATCTTTGCCATACAGAGGCATCTCTTGAGGCGATATGAGGATGATTGATACCAATGATTGCATTTGAAGCCACATTGGTTTTCAGTTACATGTGACTATAAAATGATTTTTCTAGTTGATTTTACTGTTGAGAATTCTCAAAAGATCTTTGTACCCAGATTTTTAGGTTGATCTGGCTGTCCTCTGTCACGTAGATGGGCTTGCGTGCCGTGATGACCACCAGCAGCAGCATGCCGAAGCTGCCACAAAGAACATGGAAAGGGGCCATGCGAGAAATCTTTGGCATGTGATGGACCCTCAAAATGATGGATATATTTGGCATGTGATGAGATATGTGGTATGTGATGAGATATGTGGTATGTGATGAGATATGTGGTATGTGATGAGATATGTGGTATGTGATGAGATATATGGTATGTGATGGACCCTGAAAACGATCTTGAGTGCATGATATGAAAGGACCCCATTTAAGCAGCTCGGATGTGGAAGCTAAGTAAAGCTTTCGCGGAACTCTCTCAGACCTCACCTGTATATGTCGGCTGCGGAAGTGACCTTGTGAGACATGTAGTAAAGGAGGGTCCACATAGCCCGGTGTGCCCATCACCCTTGTGTACCGCACTGGCACCGCTATGTACTGCTATGTACCGCATTGTACCTGTGCACATCGGCGACAGGAGTGGCCTTGTGTGACATATAGTAAGCGGGGTCCACATAGCCCGGTGTGCCCATCACTCGGGTGGCTGCCACTGAGGTGCCCTCCCCAAGCCTCAGCAGCCCAAAGTCCGCCACCTTGGCCTGCACACATACCGGTTGTGATCAGAGGCTTTTTTACTGAGTGTTGGAGCACACCTATTGAGCTGAGTGGTCCACTTCTCATGCATATCTGATAGATAACTGATGGATAACTGATGGATAACTGATGGATTGGTAAATCAGGGAAAATGGAGTGATGGAAGTGCTGTTGCAAGTGAGACTACAATATTCTGATGCCTTCACTGTTTTGTCAGAATCCCTTCATTCCCTACCTCCATCACTCGTGGCATTAGAGGGAACTCATGTCTAGATCAGGTTCCAAATAACTGATAGCTCTATGCATACGCGCATATGGATCATGGCTAGCTAGCTAGCTCCGCCATCAAAGAAAGCCGGTCAAGGTGGCAAGTGCAGGCCACACATTTTTCATGAGATGGTTTTTAGGGAACCTGGAAAGTACCTGGGAAGTACCTGGGAAGTACCTGCATCTTGGCGTTGAGGAGCACGTTGGCAGGCTTGATGTCACGGTGCACGATGCCAAATTCATGCAGGTACTGCAACCCCTTGCCCACCCCTATGAGGATGTCCAGGCACTGCACTAGCGACAGAGGCTTGGATGCTCCTGCACGAGGAAACAACAAAAACAATCAAAAAGAGAGAAAGCCATGTTTTCCTTGTGTAACTTGTGGCTTAGCTTCCAAGCTGTGGCGAGGTAATAGGGAGGGATGGGCCACGATGCACTCGTGCAATCACGAGGACGTGTCCATTGTAAACCAGGTACAGAGGGGGTACGTTTCTACTTTCTACTCTCCTCCCCAACAAAGACACCCCCCTGCTCCTAGCTGTGCTTGACCTTGTTCCGCGTACTGATCGGGAGATGCACTACAGCATGCTATCCACGGGTTGTGAATAAGACCCCCCAATTTCTACTGAGCAGGATACTTACATTGATAGAAAAGAGAATAGGATGGGATGGCGCCATACTTACACTAATTAAATCAAGCAACCACTTGACTTGAACCATGTGATTAACTGGTCCAATCCAAATCATCACTACCTCCAGGTCGCCATTCTCCATGAACTCATACACCAAGATCTGCTCCATGTGCCCTGTCACTGCATCATAGTCCTCGCAAAACTGACTTTTGAGCCGACTCAAAATCCAGCTCGTGACAATGGCACACGACACTCTTTGAGCCCACTCAGTCATCACCTGGTCCAATCCATGCCCCTAGGTCACCGTTCTCCATGAACTCATACACCAGGATCTGCTCCATGTGCCCCGTCGCTGCATCATAGTCCTCGCAGAAGCCCAACAGCCGCACCAGATTGAGTTGGTTCTTTGTCGCCATCTCACGCATCTCAGGTGTTTTTTATTGGCATACGGAAAAGCAAACCAGTCGAAAGACAGAGCGTTGCTTGTGTATCAGTGAAGCAGGGTAGTGGCATGCAGGAATATATTCATCGGAGTGCTGCAGGCACAGAGGTGAAGCCACAAAAACCGACAAAGGCATGACCACTTCTGAAACTTCCAGTAAGCACAACACATAAAATGCTACGCATAAATCTCTTACGGTCCAGAAATAATAAAATGAAGCAGAGTTAAGCGCAGACATGCAAACCCCCCTGTGGAAGTTGTTGGTTGCAACCTTGGCTCGCTTTTAAAGGTTTTAGAGATATTGCTTCTTGAGGGTTTAGGCGGCACATACAATTGCCCAAAAAACATACGCTTTCAAGATATTCAGGTGGTTTAGTAGCGTAGATATGCGTACCTCCCTCTGGAAATCGTTCGTCAGAACCCTGCCTCGCTTCACAGCCCACAGCTCATTCGGATCGTATGGAGACACTCCCTTGTACACATCTCCAAAGCTGCCGCTCCCGATCCTGTTGCCCTCCGCCCATTGGTTCGTTGCTCATGCCAGCTCATCCAGTGAATACTCCCGACACACATTCCCCCACGCCGCCTCCATTGCTATGGCATGTGCTCCCTGTCCTGCTGTGCCTCCTGCTGCTGCTACCACGCTTGCTGCTGCTGCCGATGCTGATTCTGCTGCTGTGTCTGCAATAGCGGGGGCAAGATAAGATCGGAAGCCCTTCATGCTTGTTGAGACTGTGACTGAAAACAAGCTTCAATAAAGCGCAACGTACGTGTCCAGAATCTGCTGGAAACGATTCAGCAAGCTGGAGAGTGAAGCACAGCAATACACATTCCACAAAGAAATGTAACATATGATCATGATGTGCCCACTTGGGCCCCACCATGTGGCCACAGGCGAGCTTCATACACGTTTATAATGCAGCAACCCCCAGACTCACCTGTCTTGTGGCCGTCCTGTCAACCCACCAGTGGCCTACAATAGGTCAGCCCACCAGTGGCCTTTCTGTTATCACATTTGGATCGCCTGTCTTCTTAGTTGCCTTGTGCCCCCTCTGGCGCAGCAGGAACCAGACCACGAGCAGCAGCAGCAACGCAACGACCGCCAAAGCTGCAATGGCAATGATGGCTCCCGTCGATAAGCCACCTCCTCCGCCGGCCCCCCCTCCAGAGGCAGGTGTGGACGACGAGGAATAGGATGGTGAGGATGAGGAAGTAGATGAGGAGGAAGTGGATGGGGAGGAAATGGATGGTGGGGAAGTGGATGGGGAGGAAGTGGATGGGGGGGAAGTGGATGGGGGGGAAGTGGATGGGGAGGAAGTGGATGGGGGGGAAGTGGATGGGGAGGAAGTGGATGGGGGGGAAGTGGATGGGGAGGAAGTGGATGGGAGGGAAGTGGATGGGGGGGAAGTGGATGGGGAGGAAGTGGATGGGGGGGGAGTGGATGGGGAGGTAGTGGATGGGGGGGAAGTGGATGGGGGGGAAGTGGATGGGGGGGAAGTGGATGGGGGGGATGGTGAAAGTAGAGGAGAGGTAGGTGGAAGAAGAACAGGACATGAAAGAGAGGGTGAGGCAATGGAAGGATGCGATGGGGGGCTTGAGGGGGGGCCTGGATGGGATGGGGTTGGGAGCACAATGGTGGATGGGAGCACAATGGAAGGGGCGGGGTGGAAAATAAGGTGATCAAGGTCAAAAAAGCTTTGCTTTTATCACTTTTTATTATCAGAAGTGACAGTCGTGTCATGAACTTGGTGCCACATGCATACTAGTCTGCAATGCATGAAGTCTCGTTAAGAAGAGCATGTGATTGCTTGATCAGCAGTTCTTGACAGGCGCTGTTTCTCTGGAATCAACACTTCTGAGTCAACTCAAAAGTTGATTCGAGAGTCGACTCAAAAGCCACCTTGCTTGAGCGGTGGTCCTTGACGGACGCAGTATCACCCTGCTATTTGTTAGAGACTAAGGACGGAGTCTATGAAGATTAAGGGCCGAAATATCTCAAAATCGTCAACTACAATTCTGGACGGAAACGTTGTCGTCACAAGAAACGTCGTCTACAAAAAACGCTCTGTCCGAATTCTCTCAAACTCGAGTATGTTGTAGCCCTTAACCGTGGCTATCTTTCCCAATTTGAATAATATCAAAATATGGATTATAGCTTGAGTTATGAATTTCGGCGCACTAGGGGGTATGCTGCCATAGAAACTTAACTCAATCACAAAGTTGTCTCACAAGTTCACACAAAAAAGTTGGAGTAGCAATTGAACCAGGTAGGAGGGGTAGGACGAGAGGGAAGATCCCAAGGGAGTCCCCAACCAAGGAAACCCCATACCACACAATTCCCCTCTCTATAGGCACCCCAACTTTGACATTTGTCACTTTCCCAACTCATGCCATCCACCTCACCCAACTTGGCCACACTTACCAGCCTGGTTTGGCTTCCCCCAACCACTTGGCATCATCTACAGTGATGGTGACGAATTTCCCAGCCCCCAAAAGTCTGTACCCCATATTGAGTCAACCCGCAAATTCCCATAGTCGCCGCATCTCAATCAAAACTTCGAACGATCATATCTTTCTCGTTCTTGCTCCGATCGCGGCGATTCTCAGTTCATCGGAAAGCTCTCAAGCAGAGGAATAACTTCAGATATCTGCTCAAGGAAAATAATACTCACACACACTCAGAAAATCCAAACAACACCAAAAACTAATTCTTGCACACGCTCACACCACGCATGCAACACACAAACATATGATGGGCAGACAGACGTGAATGCAAATGATAGTATCACATAACAAACTCCCCCTCTGGCTGCCTACCATCTTCCCACATGCCATAGCTCAAGCATGCACCTTCAATGCACACTCATTCCAGCAAGCTTCATCCCCTTCCAATGCTCATTTTCAGCCAGGCGCTTAGTGAGAATGTCTGCCGCCTGCTGCTGGGTCTTCACTATCTCCAACCGCACTTCCTTGTCCAAGAGCCTCCTCACCCAGTGCCACTTGGGCCTGATATGCTTTGTCAGCCCATGAAGACATGCATTCTTGGCCAGCTTCACAGCTGACTCATTCTCATAGAACATCATAGTCGGCTCCCTCTGACAAACACCAATCTCCTCCAACAAACGCCTCAGCCACACCACCTCCTTCACCCCATGATGAAGGGCCATGTACTCGGTCTCACACGAGGACAGCCCCACCTCGTTCTACTTCTTGCTGCGCCAGCTCACTGCACCACCTCCAAACAGGCACACATAGCCTCCAATGCTGGTGTCATCCACCTTCACAGAGTTGAAGCTAGCGTCGGTGTAGCAAGTCAAGAGCATCACCCCATTGTTGCCTTTGCCTCACAGCACTGTACTCCAAACCCACAGATGCTGTAGCACTCACATAGTGGACCAACCTCTTGGCCGCTTCTAGCTGCTCATGACTGGGGCGTGAGACCACACTGGCAAGCCTGGATGTAGCAAAGGCAATGTCAGGTCGCGTGTGGTTAGCCGCATAGTTGAGTGCCCCAACCATGGAATGAAACAGCTTCCTGTGACTTTCACCCACCACCTCCTCATCAGCACAGGGCTCCACAGTGAAACCCGAAGGTAGTGGGGTGGCAGGCTTTCTTCCATCTTGCAGCCCATACTTCTCAGCCAGCCCCTCACAGTACTTCCTCTGGTGCAACCTCAACACTCCCTTGTCAATATCTCTCTCCACATGCATCCCAAGGTAATACTTGACATCTCCCATCTTCGAGCACTTGAACTGCATTTCCAGCATCTCCTCCACACGCTCAATCATTGCAGACGACTTTGAGAAGAGAAGGATGTCATCCACATACACCAGGAGCATGAGGAACTGCTCCTTCTCTTGCAGCAGGAACAAGCTGTGATCACACTCGCTCTTCTTGAAACCCCTAGCCAGCAGTGTCTCCTCCAGCTTGTGGTACCATGCGCGAGGAGCCTGCTTCAAGCCATAGATGGTCTTCTTGAGCCTGCACACACTGCCGCTCCCATCATCCAACCCCTCAGGCTACAGCATGTACAGCTCCTCTAGGATGATCCCATTGAGGAAAGAAGTTGTGATGTCCATCTGCTTGATCCTCCATCCACGGTTTGCAGCCGTTCCCAACATCACCCTTAGTGTAGTCCCTTTCCCCACACGAGCAAAGATCTCGTCAAAGTCCTTCCCCTTTGTCTGCTGGAACCCCTTAGCCACAAGCCTTGACTTGTAGCGGGTCAGCTCCCCATCAGGTCCATACTTGTGCTTGAAGATCAGCTTCAAAGAGATTGCCTTCTTCCCAGGAGGCAGCTCACACAACTCCCACGTTTCATTCTCCAGCAGAGAGTCATACTCCTCCTTCACACTCTGCTTCCACTTCTCAGCATCGGGCCCACTCAAGGCCTCAGCTAGCGTCTTGGGCTCATGGACGGCTGCCCGGTAGCAGTGTGCTATCTCATCCCCATCACACTGCTCAGCCACACTCCCAACCCGTACCACCTTTGGATTTCCAAAACTAGGATAGGTCAGCCTGTTAGGAGGGCGCACATCCCTCCTAGGACGGTCTGGCGGACGTTGGGTACGTGGTGGAGCATCTTGCTGCTGCTGCTGCTGCTCCTCCACCTCAGGTTCTCCCCCATCCTCAGTCACCCCAGAGATCTCCTCATCTGAGACAATGACCTGCACTTGCCTCAAAGGCCGCTGCACCTCATCGGCCTCAATGATCAGCGGTGTAGTAGGAAGCTTCTGTTGCTGCTGCTTCCACTCCATGTAGTACAAGGACTCAAGGAACTTCACATCCCTTGACACAGTCAGCCGCTCGCTGGTCAAGTCCCATATCAACCAGCCTTTATGATCCTTAGCAAGCCCCAAGTGTACTCCCCATCTCCCAAAAGCCTCCAACTTTCCCCTCTTCTCCTTAGGCACATGAAACACCACCATGCAGCCGTAGGCTCTCAGCATGTTGACTGCTGGTGCACTCCCATACCACTTGGTGTAGGGGACCCACTGCTTGTCCCCCACAGTCGCCAATACCCTGTTCTTCACAAGGGCGACCTGCCGCAGTGCAGTCACCCAAAACGGATCCGGCAGCCCTGCACGCCCAAGGAGAGTGCAAGCACCTTCCTGCAGGGTCCGGTTGAAGCGCTCAGCCACGCCGTTCTGCTGAGGGTTGTAGGGAACCGTGAGTTGATGCTGGATCCCCTTCTTCTTCAGCACCGCCTCAAAATCAGCGCCAATAAATTCTCCCCCGTTGTCAGTGCGGATCACCTTCACCTTGTGTCCGCTCTCCCTTTGAGCTCTCGGCATCCACTCCTTAAGAACAGCCGCTGCCACTTCCCCCTTAGTCTTGAGAGGGTACACCCACACCGCACGTGTGTGGTCATCCACAATGGTTAAGAAGTAGCGGCTGCCCAAGAGAGAAGGGGCCCTCGCAGGGCCCACCACATCCATGTGCACAAGCGCGAGCGGGGCCTTGGCTGGTCCCGTGCCGCTGCTGAAGGGAAACTTTGTGAACTTGGTCTCAAGGCATGTAGGGCAGCTCCAAATCTCCTTCACTGCCCCTTTCACCTCCAACCCCTTCAAGCTCCCATCCTTAAACAACTTCTGCAGCATAGGAAAATTCACATGACACAGCCTCTCGTGCCACGTTTCCCAATCATCCTCACCACTCCCAAATGAAGCCTTTGCCCATGCAGCTGACGCATCCACACCAACAAGCACCATCAAAGTCACCAAGCAGTCCGAGCACAAGCAAAGGGCCACAAGGCCAGTTCACATGCAGAGTTATATATAGATCACAGTACACGTAGAGTCAGGCAGTAAGCAAGTGAGGCAAAGTAGGCACAAGGCCTAACACTGTAACAAAGCGCTGATGATCACCAGGCGGAAGTGCCTTGGTGAAGACATCAGCAGTGTTGGCCCGAGTGGCCACGTACGCAAGACGAAGCTGGCCACGCTGCTGCAACTCACGAGCAAGGAAGTATCGCAGAGCGATGTGCTTCGTTCGGTGCTCCAGTCTGTGCTCCTGATACAAGGCAATCATGGCCTTGTTGTCTACGTACATAACTGGTGGCGAACGAGGCTGCTCTCCCAAGTCGGTCAGCAGGTAGGTGAGCCAGCGTAGCTCCTGAGCAGCCATGGCCCCGGCGTAGATCTCAACCTCACAACTGGAGCTGAGAACCGAAGACGAGCGGGTAGACCGCCAAGAAACAGAGCCGGAACCGAGGCTGAAGGTGTAACCCTGTGACGACCGCTGCGTAGCTGAGTCGTCAACCCAAGAGGCGTCTGCGTGACCAGTGAGGACAACTGGACCCCGTCCTCCAAGCACGAGCCCCATGCCTGACGTACTGCACAAGTAATGGAGTACCCTCTTCGCAGCATCCCGGTGCACCTTTCGGTGCCTACCGAGAGCCACGTAACGAGCCAGGAGGCTGAGAGGGTACGCGAGGTCTGGTCGTGTGCACGTCATCAGATACATGAGGCAACCCACAAGCTCTGGGTACGGACCACTCGGCTCTATGGACTCGTCCGAAGGTGGAGCTGAGAGCGAGTGGCTGGTAGACAGAGGAGTGAGCTGTGGCGAGGAGTACTGGAAGCCGAAGCGCTGAAGGACCTGGTCCACCATCTGTGACTGAGTCAGTGTGATGGTGCGCCGTGCTCTGTCCCGGGTGATCTGCAGGCCAAGATAGCTGCGCAGTTCACCTAGGTCAGTGCAGGTGTGTCTCTTCTGCAGCTCGGACTTCACAAGGGTCAGTGCCTCAGTGTCAGC